ATCAGAGTCCCTGTCTCCAGAGAGGGGCGGTGGGCAGGGAGCTTGCAGTGGAGGGGGTGCAGCAGCCCCCGGGACGTGGGCCAGCTGTTTCCAGGTGGGCTGCCTGCGCAGTCAGCCGGAGCAGCACGGGTGTCCCGTCCCAGTGGCTGGGGGCCTGCACCACGGAGGGAGGGAGGGAGGCCCCACGGGAGATGGTGCACTGACGAGCCTCCAGGGAGGGCACAGGAGGGTGAGCAGGAAGGACTCTCCAAGAGCAGAGACGCGAGGGGCTGCCAGGCCGTCCTCGAGGGCAGGCGGTCACGGCACAAGCATGCAGCTCTGGAGAGCCTAGCTGGCTCTTGGGAAGCAGGACGGACAGCCGGGCAGAAGGGTCGGTTCTCCCCTGGCCAGGCAGCGAGGCAGAGGGAGAAAGCCGGTGATGCTCCAGGAGTGAGCCTACAGCTCTGCGGCCAGCCCAGCGGCCATTCAGTGGGGGCATGTGAAAGACACCCAGGGTCATACGGGGTCTCTGGAAGGTCCTCAGCTGGGCTCTGGCAGGGGAGAGAGGATGGCCCAGCAGCAGGAAGTGCTCACTGAGGGCGAAGCGCTTGGCCTTAGAAAGCCTGAGGCGTGCTCCGTACTGCAGGTCCCAGCAGTGGGGTGTGGGCAGGGGAGCGTGCCAGGAGAGGAGGCCCATCGGCGGGTCCTGCATGTGCTGGAGCAGCTCCGGGTGACTCCCTGGCGTGGCTCCTGTGGAATCCCCAACTCTGCAGCCTCAGGGGTTCGATGGCCGTTTCCCGTGGTTCAGCTCAGGGAAGGGACACCTGAGGGAGGTGTGGACTCACCCTACTGAGCCCCCGAGTCCCCAGGGGAAGGATGGGTCCACACAGAGGTGGGGGTGTCGGTGACCCACCCCCGATGGAACTCGGCCTGACCCCACTCCCTGGATGCCCAGGTTACTTTAAAGCAAAGAGAAAGTGCAGAAAATACCAGGCAACCTGGACAGAGGTGGCGCAAGCCCAGGAGACAGTCAAGAGCCCACCCTTCGCAGCTCGGGGCTCTTGGGGGGCTCTGAACTGGGAGCCCTGCCTGGAGGTCCTGACCAGCCCTTGGCCAGGGTCACAGCAGCTGCCGCTCCCGGGAGGGCGGGGGAACGCTGCGACAGCG